GCCTTCAGCTAATCCAAAATGCTGCAGCAAGAGTACTGACAGGGACTAGAAAGAGAGAGCAGATTTCTCCTGTTTTGGCTTCCTGTTAAATCCAGAATTCAAAATCCTGCTCCTCACATACAAGGTCTTAAATAATCAGGCCTGATTTGTCCTCCTTCTTTTCTCACAGAGCATGGAAGCTCCTATTTTAGTCCTAAAACTGTACTAAGAGATTTTGTTAAGTTTTTCTTTAATTTGCCACCCCTCCGTAAACCCTGAACAGATCTTTATAAATAACTGAAGAAACAGATTTTTGTCGATTTTGCACAGATAATTTAACGACGTAACTGTGCAGGTAGTGCTGAAATAACCAAAGAAGGAGGGATTAACTTAGAAATGAATTAGCTACAGTGAGTTATATATGATTGTATAAATGGTCTGTTTGAATATAATGTTGACAGTAATGTGTGACTAATGTAAATGTTCAGGAAATAAGTGTAGCACTTTATAACAATGCTGCACTATTAAGCATTATTAAGGTGTTAGTAAGGTGTTGGTCTTTGTGAGTCCATGTTTTGTCCTGATGTACATTGTGGGTGAATTCAGGCTCCTGGTGATGTTTTGACACCAGCTTTTTATCTATAAGCAATAATATATTATGGCGGATTCCGTTAAGCTTTGATGAAGTTTTTATCACTTGTGTTTTCCATATGACAAGTATGAACTGTCTGCATGGGCTGCGTGAATATGAGCTTCACACTGTTCTTAGTGCAGATAAGAGCTGTTTAATCCCATCTAAGCCCCACTGTTCTCTGTGCAAGGAGGCTGGGCCTGACCTCCAGGTTTGCAGCATGGCTGGATGTAGCTGTCGATGACCTGGGCAGAGGCATGCTGTGGAGTCTGCTGTTTAAGGTCTTACGTTTGAAGCACATCATCACACATGCACAAGGCGATGAAAATGAGGCTCTGTTTAAATACCAGCAAAAACTGTTGTGCAGAGGTCAGGAAAGACTTGAGATGAGGTATTGGTGACTAAAGCCGTAATCAACCTGCTGAGAAGGTGTTTGGGGCAGCCTCTGCACAGAGGAAGTGGAATAAGGAGGCTTGGTGGTGGGATGAGGAAGTATTCAAAAGTAAAGTGGGATAAGCAGCGAGGTGAAGTGAAGGCTTATTATGAGTCGTGAAGGTGGAGACTGAGGAAGGAGAAAACAACCAACAGAGACATTAAGCTGAAAAGTACGTGCAGAAGGACAGAGAGGGAGAGAGTATTTTGAAGATGAGAGGAGGAGCTGATGAATGGGGGGAAATGAGAGGGGGGGGGGCAGATGAAGGAAAGTGAATCACAAAAACACGAGAGGAATCAGAAAACTCTGCAGTTCTTTGCCGCCTTAACATTTGTGCCACACTAACAGCGGCGGCGTGCATTGAATTGCAGTGGGGTTGGATGGTGTCTGCACTGGAGTGGTGTGTGTTCATGGATAACCACAACACCCGGGGGCGCAGTGGAAGAACAGCTTCGGCAGCAGCCCTCCACTCGTACAGGCTGTCACGGCAAGCGGTAATCCTCCTGCCCCCGTGTTTGAGTGCTGGTACACAGCTCCACATAAATGTCTTTCCATGCTGGTGGGAGTGCTGTCCCACTGGTTGGAGCTGCCTCTGTGGATCCAGCATGTGGGGATGTTGCTGCTGGTTGCTGGCCGCGTGCTGGCTCTGTCAGCTGAGGTTATGTGGCAAACGCTCATGTGTCTTAAACATGAACCCAAACGGTCCACTGGAGAACTCTCTGCAGGTGTTTTCTCTGCAGGTGTGGTGCATATGGACACACATCGAGCACCTGGAAGAAACTAAGAGCTGAATTTCTCTTTTTAAATCACATTTGATTTTGCATTTGGCAGATGAGGCTCATCCTGTTACCATGACACTGTGGAATAATGCTTTTGTCATTCAGACAGGAAGTCTTTGGAACGTCAGCAGTACTTGAACACCTGCATTGTCATTGCTGTTATTCCCCCAGAAAGACAGTTTCCAAAGGGAAATCTGTGAGACTTAAGACTTTGATGGTTAGATAAAATGTATTTGAAATATATTTATTTACTTTATTTGACCATTTAAAAGGCTTAAAATGCAACGTTACTGTAAAAATCTAACAAAGCAAATGTGTGCGGTGTTTGCTGTAAATGTGTTGTGTGTGCAAAGTGTTTAGTGGCGGGTACACCCCGAGAAAAGGAAATGATCTGCTAATGTAACTGTATTGGAAAGGCAGCATGGTGCTGCAGTGGCTGGCGCTTTGTTCATGGGCAGTGAATGTCGTTCTTCACTTGGGAACAAACGTCCGCTCGGACAGCTGCGTGCTGCTGCAGGAACAACAGCAGCCTAAATATGACATATACCATTTATTCCTTTGTTATCTTAACTGTGTGCTTAGCATCGCTGTCCTGTTGGAGGATGAACATTTGCTCCAGTCTGAGATCCACAGTGCCCTTGAGCAGGTTATCATCAAGGATGTTTACGTATGGTGCTGCATTCCTCTTTCCCTCATCCTTGAGTCATTTCCCACTTCCTGCTGCCGAAAAACATCCCTACAGTGTAATCCTGCCCCCACCGTGCGTCGCTGTAGTGATGGTGTTGTTCGGGTGATGAGCGGTGCCTGGGTGAGGTCTGCATGACAGACTAGTGTGCTGGGATGCATCATCAGTGATGTAACATGAGGTCATCGCAGGTTTTAAACCTCTTAACATCAGACACCCTCTCTCACCTGCAGCTGCAGTCGTCAACACATCTGCCTTCTTGATCCAAAGACACCTCGTGGTTCTCTGCTGCCTCGCTACCTGATCTAACGACCCTCATTTCTCCTGTCCAGTGATGCCTGGCAATAGAAGCACTTTGCAGAGTGAACACTTTACAAATCCTGGGCATCCCACCTCTGCATGCTCGCAGGAAGATCGTCCACCTGTGCCTGCTACTATGCACACTTTACCTCGTTTGCCTCTTTTATGTGCTCTGCAGGGCGTACTTTTAATTCCAGCACGATCAAATATATGTAAGAAAAAGATTATGATTTGTATAGCAGCAATGCTAACCCTTTAAAATCTGTCTTGTGTGTAAAATATCAGTGATGGAAGCTGTAAGGCTAGTCTATAAAAGGAGTAAAAGTTTCACAGTGAAATGTAGCAGCAAAGCAAAGTCTGAAGTTCCTTCCACTCGTAGTCAAATCGCTGTTTTATGCACTATAACTCACCTATACTTAAAGGAAGAAAACTTGAAGGACTGAGTATCAAATAAACGGAATATTTCATCTCATTAGTGTAAACGTGTTCCTGTTGTTTGCTGGGATGTGGACGGTGAAGTCCAGATGTGTACAGCTGACGGACAGCAAAGAGGGAAACTGTGATGGTCAACGATGTTTTAATGTTTTTGAAGCTAACAGTGAAGCAGTAACAGGACAACAGTGAACACATCCCACACGTCTCCTTTGAACTCTGCAGAGAGAAGTGGGCTGTTGGAGACATCACAGCTTCATTTTGAACTTTGTCCTGTGCCCCCCACCCCCGACACCACCACTCGAACTACACTATTCCCTTTCAGACATCAGTAGATCGTCTCGGCCAAGCAGGAAAAAGGATCTTGCACCTCAGCCGAAGCTGGATTAGAAACTTTTTTGTAATCCTCTGGAGAAGATGCAGACGTAGCCCTCACAGCACACAGTGTCAAATCAAAAAGTTTCTCCATGATTCACTTTTTAAGACAAAGAAATATTCATGATTCTTTTCTTTGTATGCACCTGTTTACAAGTAAAGTCTGTAGATAAGAAATCTACTCAGAGGTGGAGGGGTGGGGGGTCTATTTAAGCCAAAGCGCTGAGCGTTTAGCTGAGAGCTGGACCTCCTCAGCTACAGCCACTCACATGTTACAGAGGGAGACATTGACAGCACTGAAGCAACAGCAAGGCAAAGCTCGTTTTCTTCATTCATTCTTTTCAAAACAAACTAAATAGTAAATTAACAGCGGACTATTCATCCATGGCATCACATTCTCAGTAACGTTGCACACCATCAGCCTGTGTTCAGCCTCCACTGTGCAAAATCTCATCCTTCATCTGCTACAGGATGCGTCCACGCCTTTCTCCACGCCACTGTTACGCAGCATCTCTTTAAGCGCTCATTTCTCCTTCACCTCTTATATTGAGACTGCTTTACTGAAACAAGGGTCCATGTGTGATGTTAGAATTGCACTAACGATAAAATCCCATCCAGAGAAGCTGGCGATTCCCAAACTGTGGACTAAATATTAGACTGAAAGCATCTGCAGTGGAAGGCTTCACAGGATCACAGGTACAGAAACAGCGCTGTGAACACGTGCTTGCCCCGTTCTTCATATATACATTGTTTTTTGCATTTTTGTCTCACTTTCAGGTCATCGTACAACTGTTAATATTACACAGACAAGCTCAAAATGTCGTTTTTAAATTCTGATTAAGGGTCAAAAGTTATCCAAACCTACCTGGCCTAAAATCTAAAAACTGGTCGAGTATGGAGGTGTATGGTATGGTGGTGTTTAAGGTCATGGACTTGCTGGTATATTTGGGATTGTGTTGTTCTGCTGCGTAACCCGAGCACGCTCAAGCTGTACATCACAAAAGTTTTCCTTCAGGATTTTGGGTTGAGAGCAGAATTCCTTTTTCCATCCAGATCCTTAATCATCCAAGCAGCCCACTCCCACTCCCTCCACATGCTCTTACTGTGATGTTCTTTTTATGAAATGCTGTTTTTGTTTTTTCCTTTTTCAAACAGGGCCAGGTAGGTTCTTTTTCCCCTTAACAAAAAATCACAAATCAATTAAAAACGTATGTTATGTCATTTTAAATGTTGTCTGATGATCTTAATCACTGCAGTGTGACAAATATGCATGAAATGAAGAACTCAGGAGGCAAACACTTTGTGGCAGCACTGTAGCTTACTCCAAATATACAGAACAAAATCCAAACAGGTTTAAAATGGACCAACTAGGTGTTCAGATGTTTTGTTTTCTCATGTCAGTGAGCCAAACCCATTAACATGGTTGTGTCACGCACACAGCTCTGGCTACACACCTGCTGTTCAAAGTATTTGTGTGTGACAGGCAGAAGAGAGTTGGCTTTAAGAGAGACAGAGGCACTAAAAGAGCTGTTTTCAGATGGACACTGACTTGAGCGGCTGCCCCGAGGCTCAGGATAAAGTCAATAAGGATTATTTAGAACTGAGAATAATGAAAAGATACAATATTACAGTCTGAAAATAAGAATATGTTCCTTTAAAGCCCTTTCGACACGAAGTATGTAATGACCGTTGCATACTTTGTCCACTAGAGAGCCTAAGTTAGCTTTAAAATACCAACGTGGCAGCTGTAGAGCTGGTGTCCTGCAGGCTTTAGATATGAGCCTGGGTCAACACACCTGAATCAAATGATTAGTTCATTGTCAGGCCTCTGGAAACCTTTTTAATTGAGCCATTTAAACCAGCTGTGTTGGATCAAGCACATCTAAAACCTGCAGGACGCCAGCCCTTGAGGCCTGGAGTTCCCCCACCCCTGCTCTGGAGCTGAGGTGTCGAGTAAAGCTGAAAAGCAGCCTAAGAATGACAGCTGAGCTTTTAAATAAAGCAACAGATGAGATTCTGGACAGTGAGACTCTGAACGATGGGCCAGTAACAGAAAAACATATCAGGAACTTTTCTTTAATTTTCTGACAGGAGGGTGTGAAGCAGAGAGGCCACATGCACAAGAATCAGGCTGCTATGCAAACACGCACACAAGCACACAATATTGGTCCCCACTGTAGCGCCGTTAAGGATATAATAGTTTATTTAGCACTTCAAAATATGGGTCCGTCTACAGACAGATAACTGCAAGCTGGTGTAAGGCTGGTAGTCATCGGTGGAGCACTCGGGCACCGAGAGTTGTGTGTTCCACTCACTCACTCACACATACGGCCTCAAGATGAACAAAGCGAGGCTTCGGAGCCTTTGCACATGTAGCAGCTTCCTCTTTGCTCTCCCATTCGTGTCCCTTGTTATCATAGTGTTGAGCCATTTCTCATTCAGTAAGAAAACATAAACAAAGGGCTACATGAGCATATATGTTTGCATATAAATTATTGGCATTTTAATGATGCTATGTCAGTACTAAGCTGGAAAAAAAAGACCTGTGAAAAGCTGTTGTGTGTAAAAACCACACCTGGTGTTATCACGTTCTCCTCCACGCAACTTTGAGGGTTCGCGTTCAGTTAATCGCAAAGAAAAAAAAAAAATACAACAACAAAAAGCCTTCAAATAAAACTCAAGTGTACAATCTGTATTTTCTTTAACTGTACAAGTGTCAAAAATATCCAACTATTTCCAGCTGTGATCGGCCAAGTGATGGTGCTGATGGATGTGCAGGTGTTCCACAGATGCTGTCGTGCAGCTCTCGAGAACGCGGCTTCTGTTCTGTGACGACGCTCCCGCAGATCTGAGCTACACTGGTACGGTACAAAAGCAAAACTGCTGTCCAGGAAGAAAAAGGCGAGTGAGATGAGAGGCGAGGAGGTCGTGCGTCATCCTTATAGGACGTCTGACGTTTCTTTTCGAGTCCCCGGTCTCAGGCATGTGTCCTCTTACTGTTGGAGAAACGCAGCGACTGCATCTTGATGGTGAGAGTGTGTTGATGAGGTTTGATAAGTGTCTTCTCTATTTGTTTTTTATGTCTGTGTGTGTACTGGCAGCATATAAAGTCAACCGAGCTGCCAGTGATGTTTGAATTTGCTGTGATACTAATCGGTGTGAAACTGAAGCATCACATTTTGGGCTCAAATCATGTCCACACCAGGCTAAAACCCACCCACTTGTCTCTTTCCCCTCCTCTCTTCTCCTTCTCATTCGGTCAACCAATCAGCCGAGACAGGGGCGGGTGGGGCCTAGGCTCTGGGCCAATAGGAAAGCTTGTACCACCTCCTGGGTCTGCTGGGGTGTAGTGTTGACGTCCTCCAGGGCATCCGCCACTGCAAACTGCCGGTCCCTCAACCGGTTCCAGTTGGACAGTACGTTGTGGTATTCAAACACCTTCTCGTAGTTTCCCACTGAGTTGTAGAGTTTGATCAGGCCTCGGTAGTCGTACTCCAGCCCACTGTAACCCTCGCCAAACAGCTTTTTACCTGTGGAGACAGAAACATCAGACCGTGTTTCATTCAGTCTCTCTGACTCGAGCCCTGTTTGTGATAATATTTTACCCTCTTCCATTGTAGCGAAGTAAAGTCAGCTCTACATAAATGATTACATAACAATAACAGCAAAACTTGGCAATTAACTGAGAAGTAGGTTGAGTATGACGCATCTCAGTACAACATGTTCTGTGATGAAGCAACATCAGGCCTTGGGCCTCATTTACTGTGACACTAAAAAACATGGACGTGAAGTTGTTCTGCTCTTACTGACCGATAGCGATGGAGCGCAGATAGAGCCTCTCTGCATCTTCGTACTGGTTCATGTCGTAGTTGTAGAGGGAGGCCAGGTGACCCACAGACAGAGCCACCTCGTAGTCCTCGTGGCCCAGTAGCTGCTCCTTAATCTGGATGGCTTTGATGTGCATCTCCTCTGCCTCCTGGTTACACAAATACATGTGCAAGACAAAGAGATGTGAATCACAAACAAAGACAAAACTCAAAGGCAATATTTATTTGGTTTCCATGGCTTTCCCCATAAATCAAACATCCAGCTACGTTTCCACTGGTTCAGTGCCTGTAAGTGTTGTAACTGGGTCAAAGTAAAGTTGTTACATTACACTCTGTGAAAGCAAGTTATGGCCTTTCACACTTAAATTGTTTTCCAGTCCATTTCCAATGGACTAAAAGGAATAACGTGTAGTCCCAAGTCAGTCTCTCATTAACCGCAGGATATTAGATACTTACCCAAAGTCATTTCAGCTGCAGACTAGGGCTACGTCCACACGTACACGGGTATTTTTGAAAACTGAGATTTTCCGTTTTCGTTTTAAAAAATAATCCCGTCCACACGTAAAGGCAGAAATGAAGGAAAACGCTGCTAGGAACATGCCAAAGCAGCAGGTGGCGCTATATTCCTAACCGTGCAGAAATGTTGGCCAATCAGAAGTCTAGAAGCCTCGGTGGGAAATAGTAAACAAAGATGGGGCATAGAAGCACAAGAAGA